CATACGTGGGATAAGCATTGTCATCCCAAGGGATTGTCTTGCAGACACCTCACGGGCACGCTTTATACTGTGGGGGTGCCGCAGGAGTAGAAGAAGCCTGAGGGGTTGGGGGAGAGAAACCTTTATTAGGTAGATAAGCGAGATGCGAGTGCGTTATATAGATGCCCATCCTCGTTTTACTCACTTCAATGCCTAATGGAATTGAGTTCTTGCAAGGGAAAGAGTCTCCCCTCTCTCCTCTTCGTTCTCCGCCTGGTCCTCCTCCTCCTCCCCCTCCACCTCTTCGTCGACCGGGCAGGGAAAGAAGGGAACGGGGGGATGGGGGTGGACGACGGCGAGGACATGAGATAATTGGTATTTTGTCTCGCCGAATCCTTTGTGCCTCGAGTTTTAATTGACTTCGAGATTTTTCAATACCAATTTGCACCCGACTGCATGCGAGCAAGAATGTGTGTACACGCGGATGTATATGTACATACACGTATATGTGTATCTGTACGCACGGGGTATTCGCGGAGAGGCCGACGGAATGGCGACCACGTCGCCGGATTTTTTCCGCGACGGAAGAGACGTGCTCCTCGTTTTTCCTTCCGCCACCTTTTGTCGACGCCGCGACGAGGGTGGGTTTTGTTTTTCGGGGTGGCGCACCCCCGGCGAGATAATAAATTATTAGCTGACGTACTTGCTTTCCTAGATTTTTTTTCGTCCAATCGTGCCGAGATCGATGATAAAGTGACGGATGTTTTCGAGATATATTTCGCGACAGTGATTCTTATAAAAGCAAATCTGCTATTTCATAAAATAATTTTACATTATAATTTCATTGCTTTCTATTAAAATGAATTATTTTCTTGATTTGACAGTATTTGCTAAAATGAATTTGTGTGTGCTTCATGATTAGATTATTCAAATTAAATAATGATGAATATACGATTAACTTGACTTATGAGCACAAAATTATACAAATATTATATCTCATATGTAGAGTATTAATAGAATCAGGAGACCTCATTTTCTTATAAATCAAATAATTAAATTATATTTTTTCCGTTGTTTAATTTCATGTATGCTCTACGCATATTTACTTGTACAAAGTAATTTTCATTAAACAAGTGTTATAACACAATATCAGGTAATATATACAATTTTTAATATAAGACCATCAATGTCGAAATTTATTAAAATAAATAATATTCTTTCACTATATAGAGGAGAGAAAAGTATTTGATTGCGGCGGCGAAAAGACATCGAAAAGCAATCGTAATAGAGAATGCACGAAACAACTAATACTGCCGAGAAAGAGAAGCGAACTATTGCGTCTATTCGTTTGCATCGCTGAATGTCCTCCGGGAACCAGGAAGGCGAGAGAGGATGGGTCAGGACGGAGGGCGATTCGAGATTGCGAAAAGGGAACAGGCGCTCTCTCCTTTCGCCGCTTTTCATTCTAATCCAAGTGCCCTGTCGTCGAGAGGATTTTTTGCATTGTACCCGCAGATTTCCCATAGGAGGGTAACCGTCAGATTTCGCCTGGCATTGTTTCACAGAAGCTGTCGCTCTCCTCTCCTCCTCTCCTCTCCTCTCCTCTTCTCAACTCTCCTCTCCTCTCCTCTCTCTCTCTTTCTCTTTCTACATACGTATGTGAGCGTGTGTACGTAAGCTAAATAGGGTCGAAACTCGTTCTGAAGTGTAGACTCCCGATTGATTACTCGTCGACAACGAAAAGACGGCGTAAAGGGGTTGCACGATAAGAAAAACACCAAACGTTTATTCGATCATTTTATGTTCGGTAATGTAAACCTATAAAATTACATAAATATCGCTTTAACACATCACTTTATAAATTTATTTTACTTATACATTGAAGAACTTTGAAATTAATATCGTTTAACATTTATCATTATTAATATTTACTAGAAAATCTCAGACTAAGAATTATCTACACATTGTTAAAAACTTGTGGTAATATCACTTCAAAAATTTTCATTCAAAACTTCTTTTTCTGCAAAATAAGAAACAACTACATATAATAATTAGAATAATAAATATAAGTATATATTATAGATATGATTCCTACTTTACACAGAATATTTTAAAATTTGCACTCGCCAATTACTTATATGCACGGAAAATTTGTGTTAAATTTATTTTAACATAAATCGAGACATATATTATGTAAAATTAAATACAAAAATGTAACACTGGCACAATTTGGAAACATATTTCTTCAATAAAATTAACATTCATAACATGTTAAATTTAGACGTACTGACAGAAAAATGTTTGGTACTTATAACTTATAACTGTAATTGTAGATATGTTATAATAACCATAATTATAACGTGTACTTATACAATTAATTAATTTTTTATTCATTTATTTTAGAATTAAATTTCTTGAAACCCCTTATTCTATTAATTTATTTGTTCACTTACTCACTATTTTAATGCTAAAAAATATCAAATTAATACACAATATTGAAATAACATAATAACACTTTGTTAAATTAACGCTCAAGTATGTTAAAAATTTAGTATTATGTTAATACTATACTTGAAATTTTTATATATCAATCACAAATTTTTCGAGGTTACTTCAAAGTTGTCGGAAAAAAACGATTCTTCTGCAAAGACACTTTCACACTGTGAAGACGTCTTGAGATCGAGTTCATGGTGAAGTTCATCTTTGAGAATTTCATCCCCACTTCTTTCTCCCTCTCTGCCAATAAGTCTATAACGTAATAGTCCACGATGAAGAAAATAGGTGAGACAACTTAAGAAATGCACGGTTGGACCAAAAGAATCCTGATTGGTTAGCTGACTATTCTGATGTGTGTGTGTGTGTGTGTGTGTGTGTGTGAGAGAGAGAGAGAGAGAGAGAGAGAGAGAGAAAGAGAGAGAGAGAATTGAGGGATGTGCAGTAAGACCAAAATTTAGGACGCAAATTTAATTGACTAGCTCACTTGGCTCCAATATGCTCTAGCATGCTCCAAATAGCTTGGATGAGCTATTTGGAGCATGTTAGAGCATATTGGAGCATGCGACGCGAACAAACCTTAAAGGAAAGTTATGGTAATGGTAACAAAAAGAGAATATTTATAAATGACCGATTTTCTTTGATCAGTTTTATGTGAAAATAGCAAAATATATAACATTTGTTTTACTAAAGGAGTAAAATTTGGTAAACTTTTTTATTTAACAGAACAATTTTGTTTGGTTTTCATATTTTATAAAGAATAATATAAAATTGGATTGCAAGTAATTAATTTCCTTTTTGTAATTTCAATAAAATAATCTATCACGGTAGAGTAAAGTATGTTTCGCAGATCTCTCAGAGATGACGTTGTCTTCTCGCAAGAGAGATTTGATGTTTACTTGTGTATAAAGTGAGGATAATTAGAGATCATCAGTTTCATGCAATTTCTCAATTACCACATCATGATGACAGCCATTTTTTCAGAACGATCAGTAATCAATCAATCAATCAAAATCTATATACTCATGATACGCTACTAGAGAAGTTTAAAAACACCAACATAATTCCATACTGTAAAAAGTGAGAGAAAATTCTAAAAATCATACAAAATGGTTTTGAATAATTAAATTATCAATTCACTTAGAGTAAAAAAATTCGAATTTTAATATCGACATAATAACAAATAGTTTTTTGCATCAGTAAAATTTTGATTATTCATACAAAACATTTCTCTCAGTAAAGTGCAAACGACGATTTTAGCAAGATTGCATTTCATTGTTAAAATCGAACGAACTTGTATGTGAGATTACACGAAGCGTGCATATCCCCAGAGACAAAAAAAAATATGAAAATCTTTATCTGATCTTTCGTTCCCATTTTATCGCAATTATTGTGCGACGTAGCCCCGCGGTTGCGACAGTCCTCGAACGAAGCCAGTCAATAACGGCCGGTGTACTATGCGCTATTTGTACTTCGTCCTATCGAGGTAATCGATAATAATAATTGCAGCCCGCGCGATATATCCCGTCGAAGTGGCCCGCTCCGTCGCAGGCTGCAAAGTAGGGTGACAGAGTACGACGAAGTGGGACGAAGAGCAGCGGAGTTACACGAAAACTGAGACCTGACGACCAATGGTGCACAAGGGGCCGGTCGATGGGTGGTCGACGGATTAACCGGTCGACCTTCGAACAGGACCAGGAAAGCTACGCCCATAAACGTAGTCGCGTGTGGGGTTTGTAACGAACACGACGGAGAAGGAAGAGAGAGTCCCGAGAAGGACAGTGGCAGCACAATGAGTCAGCTGTCAAGAGCCCAAAGCAGCACTAGTGTAAACGCTGGGCTGGTATTAAGCCAACCGAACTCAGAATAAGAACGAACGAAGTACAGAGACAGATAAGCAGACACAAGGAAGGTGTGCAACGTTCGATCAGTGACTTGGTGGTAGAATAATAGTCTCTTAAAAGATCTATCTATTACTGGTTTCTAATAATCTTTAGTGAAAAAACATTGTTTTATATTATAGTCAACAAAAATCTAAGGCATCTTGATAATATAACTCTTGTGTTCTTAGATTTAAAAAATCTAAGTGAAAAAGTTAGAAGAAGAAGAAGCATCACATTCGTGAAGTAATCAAGAAGAATCAAGAAGATTTTTTCTGCAAAAATGTGCAATATATATATAGAAAAAATAGACGATATTAATCTGTGATTTTTTTTTCGTGACACAAATGGAACGCATGCAAATATTTCAAAAAAATTTTTACTTAGCAAGCAAAGAGACAATATTTTTCGTAAGTTATAAAATTAGTTAGCCAAAAAGTGCGCGAACGTGAAGTGAAAGAATTTCATAATCAAACGAAAACTATTAGTTTGTGCAGTAAAATATCCAACGAATTTATGAATCTCACGGTATATTATCCGCGTATCAATCCGTAATCGTTTACATTCGTTAAGTGTGTGTATGTTAAATTTGTAAACAATCGTTTGAACGAATCGTCCAAAGGTTATGAAGGATTTATGTTGATAAAGATGCTTAGTTTAGATCAGGAACAAATACCGTACAATCCAGTCTTAGTCAATTCAAACTCGGACGCAGATTTGAACTACGGAGTCGACATAAACTCACCGTCTTTGCACTCAATGTATCATTCGTTTTCTAATGTAATGCCACCTGAAGTTAACATTAGAAACGCGAATAATGTCGAGCAACAGACACTTGCGCAACAAGAGAAACACATTAAGAGGCCTATGAACGCGTTCATGGTGTGGGCACGTGACAAACGGAAGTTGATTTCCCAAGAGAATCCAAAGATGCACAATTCAGAGATTTCGAAGATGCTCGGTGTAATGTGGAAGAAGCTCACCGACGAAGATAAAGTTCCTTACATCGAGAAATCGAAGCGTCTGCGTCTTCAGCTCCTAAGGGATCATCCGGATTACAAGTATCGGCCTCGAAGAAAGGTCAAAACAGTACCAATGGCAAATCAATATGCCATGGGCTTACCTCCGACACATCGCACTAGTTTTCCTATCTCGCCTGTTTATGGTGCGCCGATCGTCAATCCTTCGATCATATCTCATACACTGCAGCCCTATAATTATCCGTATCACAGGACTCTCCGTTTTAAGTTCAGAGACCCAGATATGTTGTCCACGTCAATGGTTTCGGCTGATGGCAACAACAACGCGTCTTTGGACGTCAATAGCTTGTATCAACTTTACTCGATGGCACCGGCAGTTGGTAATTCGACATTGGCGCAGCATCACCTGAACCCGTTCTTCTCGACCAGCCATCATACATTAGGAACTAACAGTCTCCATTCCCATCTGGTGTTGCCCTCGACATCCGAAGGTACAGGAAGCGATAAATCCGTCAACAATTGTGATACCAACCCATCACCATCTTCATCATCGATGCACTCGCTTGAAGCACTGACACAATCTGGGCCATCTACGTCGGATCCTGATTGGTTTCATAGATATAATTCGGTAAAAAATTAATGAAATCATATATTTTTTAAATTATGCTTTATTTATGCGTATATTTACAATTTCAATTAATTTGAAGTACTTTAAAATATTGTGAAAATAAAAAAAGATTTCACTGTGAACTGTCCTTAATATTAAAATAATTTATTACAAGGAACATAGCACAATCTATTTATCCAATTGCTATGTGATTCTGTTTCTTTACAGCGAAATACTATTTTTCTTTGTGAAATTTCTTATATACAGATTGTTAGATTAAAAATATTAATCTAGAATTTTCAGTCTGTTAAAGAAAGGAAAGAAAAATTAGAAGAAATATATCTCAAAAAGTAATTTGCATGTAATGTTTGTGTTCATTAAGATAATCAAAAGGCTCAGTAGAATAAATCAAGAAAATAAAAACAAAGATTGCCGATATGAACTACTAGTTATAAGTGTGTATTTTTAACAATTCATTCGGAATCATACAAAAACATATACGTTTCGACCTATGGTTAAGATCCTTCTCAATACAAATAAGTAAAATTTAAAATTAAGAACATCAAAATTGAAAACGTATAAGAATACGATTACTCTAGTGGTAATGTCCAAATCAAGTCAAATTTTGTTCATCAAAGTTTTAGATTTAATGAATATCAAAATTATAGATCATTTTTGTGTAGTTATACAGGTTCCATTAAACTGCTCGGTTTAATGAAATTTAAATGACAATTATTAGACGCAACATAACCGTTTGGAAGACCGATGAGAATTTTTTTGTGTTTGTTTTTTCGAATCAATTAGTAAAAAAAATGGAAATCGCTCTCTAATTGATTCAGTCTTATCTGACAGTTTTTAAGCTAGCTGTCGGCAAAACCGTCGCGCTGTTAACGAGGCGGATAATTGAATTAGCATATTAATGCGACGGAACAATGGAATCGTTTAGGCCCGAATTCGTTTTGTCTTATCTAATGGGTTTTATTGCAGAATACGATTCTTGATGAATAGCTTAACCTCTTTTACAATATTCCGTTTATAAATAATGTTTTCTAATTACGGATACATTTTTAACTTAGTCTGTAACAATTATAATTTTTGGCCGAATGTGATAAATACATAAAAAATTATACTGATAAAAATAATAAAACATAAGAAATAAACAAAGGGCCAAGAGCCAAATGTTGACATTTAAAACAATAACACTTTAATTTAAATTAATAAACATTACAAAATAATAAAAACAATTATCAACAGACGTTTCGACACCGATCGGGTCATTATCAATGTTCACAAAAATATTTTAAAAAAACATATGTCTACAGAATAAAATTTATTATTAATTAACGCCGTCTTCATTTAATTAGATATTGCAGTTGAATGTATTGGAATAGTCAAATAAAATTGGAAGTTCTTATTTAATAGGCAAAACAGCAAACATTCAAAGTCCATATAAGAGAACAAATATATAGCAATATCTTAAGCGTAAAAATCGAAGAGAAGGCGTAATTCCAGTTCATATTCAATATTACTAAAATTAGCAAATTTGTCACTTATCGTATATGAATCCGGCGACTTCCAATTGTATCAATTGTTTCAAGAAAGATTATTTAAATCCAATAAGATCTAATATTAATTATTTATCGCAAATATTTTAATTCTTTTTCTTTCTTTATATCAGTTTAATTTCCTTCACTCAGTTGTCAAGTAATTTTTCTTTATTTATATTACATACACACATACATATATGTATAAAAATATATAAGTATAAAAAATACATACACATAAAAGTATATACATATTCTTACATATACTTCTGATATATTTATTTGTCAGACTTTCTTTGTCAAAATTTTGATAAAGAAATATTTTTTATATTTTATTATATATATTATTTGTTTAATATATCTCTCAAGTGTTGATATACTATATGTACATATATAAATATGTCATGTATTTAATGTACGTATGATTTTAATAATTTATGTAATTTATAATTGAAACATGAAATTCTCTAAATTACTAACTTTTCAATTGTTGCAGGCTCCGTTTTCACGATGAAATATGAAGATATATAATTCGGGTTTTATCGGGTCATTATCATGTACCTGCAAAAAACAATACATTTGATAATAAAGTTATTCTTATGAACTACACACATAATAAGGAGGTATAACATTATAAAAACAACAAAAATTAACATTCTGGTAAGATAAAAATAGCAGGCTAAAGAAGAAAACACTTAAAAATTCATTTGTAATATATTTAGAAATATATTTAATTAAATAAATATTTGTTTCGCAAAATAAATTTGCAGTATTTGTAAAACATGCAATGTTTCAATGCAATTCGTTTAAATAACTAATACATGTAATTCCGATTTTATTTTTTGTAATTTTATAAAATTAACATGTCAACGAAAGATTTACATACATATATGTTATAAAATATTAATTCACAATAAATAGATATATTTACTATAGTCTGCTGCATTCAATGTATACATTAACTAATAAGTTTATACATTCACTAAAGTTAACTTTAACTGTAATACAAAAATAAATAATAATAATAATTTTTCGATAGTAAATATGTAACTAATAATAAATGTAACAATAAGATAATGTAACACTAAAAAATGTTTATAGTAAGTAGAGCTGGATAAAACTGAGTAGAAAAGTTTTGTATTATTTTCTGCTTTTCTTAATAATTATTAAGGAAATATTTAATAAGAATCTGCAGCATATATCCGCGCGATTTAACGGCAGCTTAATATTACTTATAATTTATAGTTGCTAGAAACGCGCTTTTTTCAACATCTCTCCGCGCACATAATAATCATAACCTGAATTTTTTAACGCGCGCACTTACGCTGTTGATTTGGGCGAATATTTTCTAATTCATAGATCTTTGTTAATTAATTTCTCTTAATTATTCCAAAAATTATACAATGATAAAGAACTTTTCTGTACAGTTTAATCCGTTCAATTAGCCTAGAAGACGTAATTATTAAACACCCTATATATGAATCAAGTACGTAATAAAATAATTCTTTTATAAATATCTATTTATTTTAATAATATTTTTATTTAGTTTTTTTTCGAATTTTCATTATTTCCTTTAATTATAACTTCAATTTTAATTACAATTCAAATTTGTATCAGAATTTTATTTGCATAAAATTATTTTAATCTGAAGCATTAGATCCTCGTTATTACCTCCTTATTATGTGATGAAAATTTGTACAAATATAAATATATTTTTCGCTGTAAATATGTTAAAAATTATATGTGATTGGTCAATATAGATATGATTGTGTATATTTATACTGTGTATATTTATACTTATACACATAATGATTTACTTATGTATATATTTGTATATATATAGTGTATAATATATTACATGAATTAAAATATATATAAGTTAATATCAATAATATAAAATTTAAATATAATGTATGCAATATATATGAATATATTATATATTTGTATTTATATTTAAATATACACGTGTATTTATTATAGTAGTAGATAATGTAATTAATATAAATATAAGTATTAATAATAATTAATGATATACAAAATTTAGAAATTAATTAATAAATATTATCAGCTCATATAAAATCAAAAATTATAAAAGTTAAATATACCTCCCAGGTCAAACAAATAATGAGCTATATTTGTTGTTACTATTAAACAAATTTATTACAATCGATAAAATTAGCGCAGAACGTTTCGACTTTACAAAGTCATCCTCAGCCTCAACAAAAATCCCAATCAAATTAAACCGTTTACATGTCACAGACGCAAAAACAAATAAAAATTATAAAACATTGTAAATTCTCTAATAAATATAAAATACATCCTCACAGTCGCAAACTTTCATGAATTTGTTTGTATTGTTTCATGAAAGTTTGCGACTGTGAGGATGTATTTTATATTTATTAGAGAATTTACAATGTTTTATAATTTTTATTTGTTTTTGCGTCTGTGACATGTAAACGGTTTAATTTGATTGGGATTTTTGTTGCGGCTGAGGATGACTTTGTAAAGTCGAAACGTTCTGCGCTAATTTTATTGATTGTAATAAATTTGTTTAATAGTAACAACAAATATAGCTCATTATTTGTTTGACCTGGGAGGTATATTTAACTTTTATAATTTTAGAAATTAATAATTAAAAAAATTAAATTTAAATAATAATTTATATAATATACACAAATATGTTTTTGTTTATAGTATTTATACATGTATATTTATTGTACTAGTAGATAATGTAATTATAATATAAACGTAAGTATCTATAATATTATAATTAATGATATAAGAAATAAATCATACTTCATTTATTCACGACAAATAGTACTCTGAATAATGAATATTGATCATATTGATTGATCAATCACATGATTTGTCACATGGTTTCATGATTGTAACGAAAGAAGAATTGCTCTTTTCCTTTAAATTTTTTAACACGAAGACATGGAATAATACTTGAAACTTTCAAAGATTTTTCGGAAGGTTAATCCAAGAAGAATATACTGTGGAAAAGCAAATTTATAGAAAAGAAAAATAACTATTAATAAAAAAGACACATTAAATTTTTTAACAAGTAACTTATTCTAAATTTTTTCTTTTTTTTTCGATATCTGTTTGACAAATCGACAACTTTGCTTACCGAGAATTATCGAAAAACTATCGGTTAAAAGTTACAATAGCAATATTAAATGTAAATGTTATTATTACAACCTTCACTGATTGTATTGTAAAATATAGAAATTTGTAACATATACAATCCATGATTCTAATCAAATTTTAATAAAAATCACTTTTTAAAATAATTTGCTATATTTATTTTATAACATCAAAGTTAAAAAAAAATAAAAATTACTAATTTATAATTATTTAATAATTCCTATTTTTTAATTTCAATCTTTCTCACGTGCAATATCTTAATCCTGATCTTAACCACTAATAGTTTCTTTCTTTAAAAAAAAAAACAGTATTAGATACATGATTTCAACAATGAGATTTTTGGTTATAAGAACAATACATTTTTTGTGATAATCATAAGATTGGCATATCTCAACACTTGTGACTGTTAAGATGTGTAATTTAATTTTCAAGTTCTTTTTCTTCTTATTCTTAGTTTAGGGTAAGCTCTGTATCAATATATTTCTCATATGCTTGTGGTGCGCACGCTGCTCATTTAATTGTCACAAGCATATGAGACCTACAGTTTTAATGCCGGTTATGAACGATGGAACTTTCGAAAGATAAGTTTCTGTGATAAGAATACTTGTTTTCTGTATAAGAATACTCTCGAAATGTTGCCGTAAATTCTCGAAAGGAGACCCAAGCATAATATTTTGGCTCTTACTATGGATCGAATCCGAGACCTCTGGCATGACAGACCAACCAATGCGTAGTCTGCCATATGCTACACTCACGTGTCACGTATATATACTTTACGGTTATCACAGCTAAATATAATAATAGGCAAAATTATCATTATTTCTGGTTGTGGCAACCGTAACATATATTCTATGTTTTGTGTTTCTTCAATGCTTAAAAAATTGCTTGGTCAAAAACAATTATTATTTGCTACAGTATAATTCAAAATATAAAGCATGTAAAGAAAGTCAAAGTTTCTTTTCAAGGTTGAGGTCCAGTATTTTATGCTTATATAAAGCTAATACCTTGAAGTGAGAATCATGAATGTGGAACAATAAAAATGTATATTTTAACAAAAGAAATTATTACTGAATAGTCTTTTGTTAAATGTCAACAAATCGTAAATATATACAAACATTTCAGTATCATACATTACAAAGCAATGTCATATATTACAAAGCTGCTATCTGGAGGGACATTTCTTTCAAAATCCCAAAATTCAGTTAAGACTTTGCTTCAGAGTAAAAAGTTTTAACCTTTTGTACTTTTCACAACTTTTTCATTCTAATCTTATTATTTCAGAACAAAAGATTTTCAACATTGAATAACAATGAAAATCTTTTTTCCGACAATTTTCATTGTGTCCTTTGTAACATGTCCTAACATGTTTTACAAAGAACACAATTGACTCAATATCTTATGTATTACACACAAGTCACGCAGATGAATATTTTTCTATTTCAAAAAATTAAAACAATAAGTTTAATAAATAACTTTAAAAGATTTCAAAAAAAGCCGAAGTTGTTTACTACATATCATGTAGGTATAGTATGTACATCTCGGCTGTTGTTTATTACTTGAGTTAATGAAATTCTATTTATGAATAATAGTTAGAATTCATAGACTCAATAAAATATAGATAATAACTACAAAAACCTATTCAGATTATTAAAATTAAAAATGATCTACTTTGTGTTTACTCCTTTATCCTTCAAACATATGTTGTATCGCCTTTGAGAGTGCATTTCTCTCATTGAGTGTTTCAAATGAAGCTGGATAGGTTTCCGCGCGCGTAATACCTGAACTGACGGTGATTAGTTAATTAAATTAGTTTCAGCGATTGGGGGAGAGAAAGAGAGAGAGAGACTACGAGCGCGCAAGAACCCCTTTCGATGTGAAACGCTGCGGTTGCGTCTGAAGAGAAAACCGGAAGCCTTTGTGGTGTCCTTTGAAATTGGTTGAAAAACGAAGGAACTCGGTGCACACAGAGCAATAGAGTTGCGTTTTCCACCTCTGCAATAAATACATCATGACCGATTGCATGGAAAAAGCACCGTTAATCGAGGCAATTTACTGAGAGACGATTATAAAGAGCCAATTATAGCGTATAAATGTAATTAAAACGAGCGCGTAATAAATAAGGTTGTTTGAGAAATTTACATCCGCACATCAAACGGCAAAAAAAGTAATATTTAAAATGCGAGAAATGTATAGAATTTCAGCTTCCAAGAATTAATTACGGAAATAAAGTTTAAAGGTAAAAATACGTTGAGAGAGGAAAAAAAAGAAGAGTGTAGGAAACTAACTAATAAGTTTTTGAATTTTTTAAAATTAAAAAAAAATTTCAATTGTAAGTAAAGTATTCTTTACTTCTATTGTAGTTACAACATATTCTTGAATAAGTAACGAAAAAAGGTCGATGATGATTTGTAAAATATTAAATTTTGATGAATTTAAAAAATATATTAGTTGTAGTTAACTGTTTTAAA